GAAATCCTCACAAGGTAGATTGTTTGCACAATTATAGAACAAAGAAAAGAACACTCAAGAATGAATACAATTGAGTACAAGTAGTGTTCTTGAAAGCAAAATGAATATTGAATGAAAAATAGGCTTGAAGTACTCAAACAATGAGTTTGATGCTTTCTCTTTGATTCTCTCTTGATTCTAGTTGCTTGTTGTTTCTTATTCTTTTATCTTATTGATCAAAGGCTTCTAAGCTTGTTTAAATATTCCTTCAATTGATTCTGAACGTTGGGGATGATTAGTGGAGTCAATAGAGCCGTTTAAGTGTGAAAACAATTAATAAATTCACTTGGGAGCGTAAGTGCATCGATGTATTCCCATGGTGCATCGGTGCATCAAGTGTAAAATTCAAATATTTTGACCGTTAGACCCTTAGTGCATCGTTGCACTAAGAGTGCACCGATGCATAAAATGTATTCGATGTTTCAAAATAGCCAGATTGCATCGATGCATGGCTGGTGCATCGATACATCAAATGCATTCGATGTTTTCATAAAATCCTGAGTGCATCGATGCATGGTATGTGCATCGATGCATGAAATGCATTCGATGTTCAATTTAATTCATGGTGCATCGATGCTTGGATTGGTGCATCTGTGCATCACTCTGAAAAATTGATTTTAGGCTTGATTTTGGTTCAAAATACTTTGTGAAATTGTTTCAAAAATATATTAAGTATAAAACACAATTTTACACATTTAGTAAGGTTTGAATTTTTTTATTTTGAAAGACTTGGAGTAATATTTTGATATTCGATTAATTAAATCAAATATACTTTAGAAAATCATTTTTAAAATCTTAAAATTCATTTAAACTTAATTTGTTATATTGAAACATCAAAATGTTTTCAACAGAAATGTTAGCTTTACTTGCAAAATTTGGATAACTGATTTTTAACCCCAAGAGGGTTTGTACAAGATACTATAAGTATGTTAAGGAATCATTTCAAGATCAGAGAATATTCGGGAAAGAAATTAATCATAGGATCTCTAAATTATATTATTTTGGTTAAGATTAATACCGAAATTATCTGGTTAAGATATTACGAAAATGCCCTTAAGAGATAAAATAGTCCGAGTTGACCTTGAATGAGAAAGTACTTTGAGGATTCATACATAACTCGATTAAGTATGTATTAGATTGTCAAGACCCCGACTTAGTGCAGCAAAATTCTTGGTATTCCGTTTATCAAATCTGAGAAGGCACTTGACTCGAAAATATCCGAGTTATGAGTAAATACCTAAAGAACAATTTGTCGGAGGTATTCTTTTGACAGAATTGTTCGAATGTACTGAAATAAATGATAAGTTTGAATTTAAAAATAAGATCGGACGAAAAGAAATGATTTAAATATACTGAATTTGTAAAATGACCAAAATACCCCTATAATGGAAATAAGTCAAGAATATCAACCAACTCAAGAATGATTGGATATCCTCGAGCTTTGAAATTTATAGAATAAAAACTGAGCACCATAATGACCAAAATACCCTTATGGCCTATACTAAGTATATGTTTTGGATTAATTAAGGAATCCAACTAAATATGGGTGTTTTACTACCCTTAAAAGTTATGGAACACAACTTAAGAAAGTTGATCAACCTTAATGATATGTCAGTAACCGACTGCACATATATCACTTGAATGAGTATACGTCTACTCAAGTTTGGCTCGATGATAATTTTGGAAGTATTCAACTCAGTTCAACTCTAAATCATATTCAGCACTAAGAATTAGATATTTGTTCGACAAATCAAACACATAGACTAAATTGAATTGAACAGAAGTACAATATGTATCTAAAATTCAAAAACATCTGAATTACTCTGGGAAACCCTAAAGTAACATGAATAGACTTGACTGTTAAATGAGCTAGGTAACCTCAATAATTGAGGATTATGTAAGTTATTTGGATAAGTTTGGAAACTCTGATGAGTTTATAAGATGTATTGTCCTTATGGGTCATGAACTACAAATCAAGCACGTCAGTATTTCATGATATCGTGGAAGCGTGAAAATAAAATAAAGACCATTGGAAGATATATTCAGCGATGATTTTGAAGATGATCTATGGACAAGAATTTTTGGTATTAAAAAATAAATATCCTGGAAGGACAATGAATTGACCAGTCAACAAGCATTAGTTCTGGGAGTTTTTCATCTGGAGTTGTTCGATAATCTAATCAATCGACAAAAATTATAAAGGATTCAGAATACCCTTATGATTACGTTAAGCTTCTGAAAAAATGTCTGAATAAGATATGATCCTGATAAATCATATTCTAAATAACTGATGATTTCATCAGTTAATGAACTCTTCCCATGGTGATTCTAAATTCCAACATTCTATCGGCATATTGAAGATCCGTGTTTCTCTACCTGATAAGATTATCCAGTAACTCTGAATAATATCTGTAAACTCTGGTGTGTTCCCTAATCACATGACTATTTTATTTGATTTTCGACATGAATTATGTTATAATACCTGACTTGGATTCTGAATGGATACTTGACCTGGATTTTGATCTGATACTTGACCTGGACTATGTATTGATTTTTGATTTAACCATTTAAGGACGAACATGTTTTACTTGGGGGTAATGTTGGAGAAAGTATACCTGGAGGCTCCTCGGCTGAGTGCTCAGGGCCTTACTTACCGTCTCCTCGGCTGTGTGCTCAGGGCCTTACTGGACGTGACGGGGTTGTATGGTTCTGGGGAACCTACACATTTTGTACGTGACGGATGGGGGTCTATATATATATATATATGTTTTAAAAGATATGTATCTTTTTACTGGTTTTACGGGAACACACTAGGTGACCTTTTCTGATCTCCTGAACTTAGTATTTCAAAATACTTATCTGAATTGAAAGCTCATTGTCCGATACCCCTGAAATATTTGTAGGATCTCCGCTCAGCATAAAATCTGTAGATGTTCGAAACCAATAAGAAAATATATGTTTATCTGTATCTGCACGTTCTTCAACATCATCTGGTAGTTTTGTATTACTGAACTTTTCGAAGCTCACTATATTACTCACCTTTGCAGGTTAAAAGAATCATACCAGTGCGATTATCGACTTCAGTAAGGGAGTTCTTCCGGCGTTGGTTGCAGAGTATGGTACATGTTATTAGGGGGCGTGTAATTGTATTTTGTTTTATATATGAGTATGAAAATCTGTTTTATTTCTGTATACTGATAAATCATTTTATAAGTTAAATGTTTTAATAAAAGTTTTAAATTTTATGTTATGTTTACAGTGGGTCGCTCTGGTGGCCCAAATGTGACACTCCAGATCGGATTGGGTTACCCATATCGGTCTGAGGGGGTTACATTTTGACACAGAAGACGAAGATAGTGAGGAACATATTTTTATTGCCAATGTAAGATTTATCTTACAAGTCTGAAGTGGATATGACAAACTGCTGATGTCACCTGCTAGCTGTATGACTGACCTCATGTGCAATCAAGCCCTCCAAGAATTTTACCATATCTAACCGTGTTTCTATATATAGCATGGAAAAGTCAACACGGGTATTTAGGGAATATTAAATTACACAAAACCCTAGAAATTCCCATTATAAATACCCAGTCATAGCCGCAAAAAAAAAAAGGGAAGAAGAAGATTTACCTTAGGTGTGGAGTAAGCAGCTGCAATACCTTACCTTCCACAATTCTCCAACCCTACAATCCTTGGTGCCCTCCATAGCCAGGCTATAGCAAAGCGACGGTCAAGCCTCGAGAGAGGCTGGTCGCCAAAGCAGGCACAGTGCTGGTCAGAGCTGTCACAGCAGAGTCCCCTGTTTCGGAGTCGTTCTTCCTTTGTTCTTAATTTCTTTAATCTGTTTTTGGGCGTGTATTAAACGATGATACTTTGGAAACACCATGATTTGCTTTAGTCGGTGTTGGTTTTTGTTTTGCCGAGATGATTATTTAATGGTTTATGAACTATGCATTATGATTTTGCTTAAGTCTATTGTGTTCATTGTTTTAATATTTTTCCTTGACACTGTAAGAGCTTTCGAGAGATTGCCTGGTGCCTGGGCAGAATACTTCTAGACCTTGTAAGAGCTTTCGAGTGATTGTTATTTTTCTAGAAATTAATTCTTAGATTTGAGAGAATTAAGATAGATCTACGTGAGTAATGGAATAGATCCGGGATGGTGATGTTCTAACATGTTTGCCTTAGAGATAAAAAGAGGGTTTTAATCGACTAAAAGGGATAACACTTGAGTATGATAGAAAACTACTATAGTTCACACTGAGGAGTATTGCTACAATAATTGTCTGATAAACAAAGGGTTATAGTTCACGTTGAGTAGTATTGTCATAGCAACCGTCCTAGAATACTCCAGTAATCCTGTCGGGAAGCCTAAGCATATCATAACAAATCTTTCTAGACTTAGAATAATTTCTCCCCATAGCAAGACCAACCTAAGTGCTATGTGAAAAGTCTGAATATGTGAGGTTATTCTGAATATATTTGAATCAAAGTTTTTTCTTGCCTTGTCTATTTTTATTTGTTACTTTTGCATATTTTCTTTGCCTCGACCAAACTTTTCTGCAACCACACTTCACAATATTCTCTTACTTTAGCAACGCTTTGACACATGTTCACACAATCCATTACTAATTATTTCTCTTTTTTGATAAGAATTCAGGGACTAGCTTGTGACACCTAGTTCTAGTTGTGGTGAAACATCAAAACCCCTACTAGTCATGAGGAGACGATAACTTACTTACCCTTTATTACTTGATTCGACTGTGTACACTTTCACAAATTTGCTTGCCTTAGCATATACATTTACAAGCGATCAAGTTTTTGGCGCCATTGCCGGGGATTGACTACTGACGAAATTTTGATAATTTTTGCCATAACAAATTTTTATTTCTTGTCACAATTTATTTAGTTAGTTTAATTTGTTTATTTTCTTATTTTCCTTTGATTTTTTTTGTCTTTGCATGACCTTGAGATATGCTGGTGGACCACTAGAACCATTTGGACATGAGATCGAACGATCATTCAAACAAAGGCGACGTAACCAGCGAGCCAGAGAATATATGAATCGACTGCAGTATCAAGGCGACAACAATATGGGAGATCAAGCAGATCCTGACGTTATGGAAAATAATCTTCCTAGAGAAGAGGCAAGACCACGAGTAATATGAGATCACTTGAATCTTATTCTAGACGATCTCAATCCTGGCATCGTGGCACGTGAAATACAGGCAACCTATTTTGAACTTAAACTAGTGATGTTTAACATGCTAAACTTCATCGGTAAATTTGGTGGCTCGTCTAATAAGGATGTTAGACTACATGTTCGTGCCTTTCTTGAAGTTTACGATTCATTCAAGCAACAAGGAGTGCATGAAGATGTGCTGAAGCTTAAACTTTTCCCTTATTCTTTACGTGACCGAGAAAGAGCTTGGCTCAGTGGAGTACCTTCGGGCTCAATGGAATCTTGGACATATTTATGTAAAAGCTTTCTACTTCGATACAACCTTCCCAATATGAATACACAACTATGCAATCACATTGTAAGTTTTCGCCAAGGCGATGATGAATCCATGTACGAATGTTGGGACAAATATAAAAGTTTTCTTTGTAAGTGCGTGAACCACATATTCTACGACTGGACTCAAGTCGTGATGTTTTATAATGGAGTCAATGCACCTACTCAAATAATGATGGATGCCTCAGCGAATGGCATTTTGCTTGATAAATTACCCGAGGAAGCCTTTGATATCCTCGACAGGATAGCGAATAATGACTATCAATTCCCGACTATAAGGATAGATACAGGTAAAAAAGTATCCGGAGTATACGAAATTGAGGGTAAGAATTCAGTCTCTGCTCAACTTTTTGCTATAACTAACATGTTGAAAATTTTGCAGCGTTCTAATAAGATGGGAGACGTCAAGGCAACTAGTGCAGTATGCATTCTTTGTTGCAGCAACCATCATGAGAGTGAATGTTCAGAAAACCAGGAATTTATAAATTTCGTGGGAAGCTATAACAGAAGCAACAACTATCCCTATTATAATACATACAATCCTGGATGGTTACAACATCCAAATTTTTCATGGATTAATCACGGAACTAACAATAATAATCACGCAGACAATTATAATAGGCCACAACAGAATAATTCAGAACATCAACATTTTCAGTATCAGCATCAGTAGATGCCCTGGCAACATAATAAAGGTATAACTTCTTCCTCTAATACAAACTCTAATTCTAACTCCTTGGAGGCTTCATTTTAGGAATTTATGACCTCGACAAAAGATTTCATGGCTTCAACAAAGACTTTGATTCATGAACACTCATTGACAATTAAAAACCAAGGTAATTTATTACAAAGCCAATAAAGTTTTTTGCAAAGCCATAGTTTATCCTTGAGAGCATTGGAGAACGAAGTGGGTCAAATTGCCACGACATTACATTATCTCCCACAAGAAAGTCTCCCTAGTGATACTGAGGTCATTAAACATCATAGAAAAGAGCAATACAGTGTACTTACACTGAGGACTAGTACCCATATTAATCAGAATGATAAGTTTGGGGGGAAGCAACCAGAAAATTCTATCCAAGACACTACACAACATGGGGATAAAGCTCAAATTGTTGAACTAAAGGGATTGCCTGAGGAGAAGGAAAAGGATGAAGTTTCAGAAAGTCGTCAAGTAGATAATGGGAAATTTATTTCCAAGGCAAAAATATCCTCAACATCTATAGCAGATGAAATCAGACCCCACTGCCCTTTCCTCAACGGTTGAAGAAATACAACGAGGAGATTCAGTTCAAGAAATTTGTTGATGTCCTAGACCAGTTGTATATTAATGTCCCATTACTTGAAGCCATCGAGCAGATGTGTTCCTATGCTAAATTCCTAAAGGACATTGTCACGAAGAAGAGGAAGGTAGAAAAAATTGAAAATGTTACCACGATGAAAGAATTATGCTCTGCATTAAGCAAACTTCCACCAAAGCAAAAAGATCCTGACATCATCGTGATATCATGTTCTATCGCTGATAAATTTATGGGGCGAGCTGTTGTCGATTTAGGGTCAAACATAAATTTGATGCCCAAGTCTATATTTTTAAAACTAGAAATGTGTAACGCTTGCCCAACCACCATTATCTTACAGTTAGATGTTTGGTCTTATGTTCGTCCTAAGGGAAGAATTGAAGATGTCATTGTAAAAATGGAAAGGTTTGTGTTTCCAGTTGACTTCCTCATATTAGACTGTGAGGCTGATGAAAACGCACCCATCATTCTTGGGTGGGCCTTCTTAGCCACTGGACGAATCTTAATAGATTCCAAGAAGGGAGAATTCACGATGAGGGTGGGATATCAATGCGTCACAATCAATGTCTTCAACTCTATGAAGCATGTTGATGATTAAGAAGAATGACAAATCATTAGAGACATGGAATTAATGGAGGAAGATGGAGCATAAAATCTTGGCCAATGTGAATTTTTACATATAGATGAGTATGATACTTTGTGCCAAGAAAAAAAAAATTGACACATGAACAAAAAATTTTTGGCCCGAGCAAAAATATTTTAAACGAGGATTGTGAAAACTTTTATCTCGACAATAATTTTTCGACTGAAGTAAATGAAAAATTTCCTGATAATGAAACCAAAGTGGGCTATGAAGATAAATTAGAGGAACAGTCTAGATTCTTTCAAGCTAGACCTGATATGAAATTCGAACCCTTGGATTTCAATGAATTTATTCCCCCAAAATCATCATTACAACACGCACCCATATTGGAACTTAAAAAATTTCCATCGTATTTTAAATATGTTTATCTAGATAGTAATGAGACTTTACCAGTGATAATTTCTACTAGTCTAACCTCCGAACAAGAGAATAGTTTGTTAAATGTTTTGTCGTAACACAAAAAAACTCTCAGATAGACCATGGCAGACTTGAAGGGAATCAACCCTACCATATGCATGCACAAGATCAACTTAGAAGACAATCATAGCAATTCTATGGAACCATAAAGTAGACTTAACCTGATAATGAAGAAAATGGTGATGAAGGAAATCATAAAATGGCTAGATGTTGGAGTAATTTATCCAATATCCGATAGCTCATGGGTCAGTCCGGTGCAATGCATACCAAAGAAGGGCGGTGAAAGGATAATCTTCTCCACTAGGTGAGACCAAGAGTGCCCCAATTCCATGCCCAAGGCATTTGAAGCACTATCAAAGTTCAACTTCCAATGTTCAATGGTAGACGTAATTGCTTTCTCTACTGAAATAACCATTAGATCATAATTTGGGAAATCAAAACTCAGCAGCTAACATTCTTCAAAAGCCCTGCTTGCGATAAAATCTACTATGACACTCCCTTTAACTACTTTCTAGCTTACGTATTCAAACTCTGAAAATAGAATCTGCCACCGAGCTAATCTTCCAGATAGAACAGGTACACCTATAAGATATTTCAAAGGGTCAAGTCTGGAGATCAACCAAGTGGTGTGATACAACATATACTGCCTGAGCCTTCGAGTAGCCCAAACCAAAGCATATCACAACTTTTCGATCGGTGAGTACCTTACCTCATAATCAATAATCTTTTCGTTGTGATAGTAAATTGCTCTATCTTTCTTCTCAGTTTGGTCATGTTTCCATAAGACACAACCCATTGAGTTCTCAAAGACTGACAAGTAGAAAATTAATGGTTTATCTGAGATAGGTGGCACTAAGACTGAGGTATTTGACAAATATTGCTTGATTGCTTCAAAAGCTTATTGACCATCATCACTCCATACCGTTGAGTTTTATTTTACAGAGAAGGTGAAAAATAAGATCACATTTCTCGGTCTATTATGAGATAAATCGAGCGATGTAATTTAATCTCCCTAGGAATCCTCAAACTACTTTTTATGTTTATGGGGGTGGCAAATTTTGAATGGCTTTGACTTTGTCTGGACCTATTTTAATTCCCTTTTTTCTCACTACAAACTTCAAAAGAATCCCAGATGTCACCCCGAAGGTACACTTGGATTGAGTTTCAATTGACATTTTCTTAATCTTTGGAAGAGTTTTCTCAAATTCTCAACGTGTTCTTCCTCTATTTTGGCCTTGAAAATCATATCATCAACTTAAACTTCTATTTGTTTATGCATCATGTCATAAAATAGTGTTACAATGGCTCTCTGGTATATTGCCCTATATTTTTCAACTTAAACGACATCACCTTGTAGCAAAATATGTCTCACATGGTGACAAACATAGTTTTTTCCATATCTTTAGGGTGCATATTTATTTGATTGTAGCCAGAGAACCCCATCCATGAATAAAAACAAGGAATTTCCAGTAGTATTGTCCACCAATGTTTCTATGTGTGGCAAAAAGAAAATTATCCTTCGGACTGACTCTATTGAGATCTCTGTAGTAAATGCACATACGAACCTTCCCATCATTCTTTGGTACTGGGATAATATTTTCCACCCATTCAGGATACTTGGCCACTTTAAGGAATCCAACATCGAATTGCTTCTTCATTTATTCTTTAATTTGTAGTAACATGTTAGGTCTCATTCTTCTAAGCTTTTTCTGCACAGGTTTACATTATTATTTTATCTGCAATTTATGTACTATCAATCATGTATCCAAACCCGACATGTCTTTATATGACCAAGCAAACACATCTTTGTACTCTTAATGAAGTTCAACCAAACCTTGACGTCCCTCGATAAGAAAAAGTGGTGCCAATCTTTATTTCTTTTCTATCTTCATCTGATTCCAAATTCAAAGTTTCAGTAGACTCCTTATGAGGCAGAATTTGTTTATCATCCTTTTTCACCATTTTTAGCAGTTCAGAAGGTAAGTCACATTCCTCATAATTACCACAACCCTCGATTTCCCCTTAACATATGGGCAGCTCAAAATCAATCTCTGGATTAGTGTCATCGGCATTCATGCTATTGATATATGAGGTTCTGAAAGAATAATAGACGAGAAGATATATATGCATATATGAGAATATATCTCGTATCAAGATAAATATATTGAAATAATATATACATAAATAATAAAGAATGAAGAAATGCATGAGAGAATGGTTGCCACTTTATGAATTAATAGAAATGCGTATTTCATTGAAAATTGAAACAAATAGATTAACCCTTTACATAAGACCATCCATTGCCCCATGTTTAGACAACAGAGAAAGTTCTCGTGTATTAGTCTGGAAAAGTTTTGTAAACTACAAGTAACTCCTCTACAATCCAAATTTTCAGCACGAAGCCTGGCGGTGTGAGATAGATGCTTACATCTTTTCCTTCTTCAGATTAATTTCCCAGTATGACATTAATGCCCATATCTCCCAAGGCATCCTCAACAATTGGTTCCTTAACTCGCTGGCATCCTTGAAATATATACCCCCATGCATTAAGGTATCATACAATAGTGGGAAAATCATCAACTCCCAACTGAGATTCTTTCCAACTAACCTTACTCTTCTCCTCTCTTGGATCATTTTAATGCCCTTCAATTTCTCTCTCAAATTTAGCTGATATCCCAAACCAAAATGATCTCTCTTTGTGGTTGGAAATACAGGGTTAAGAAATCCCTGTAAACAACTTCCTCAAAGTCAGCTTGAGTCTCATTCGGGTGCAGTTGGACAGTCTAGGTCTGGATACATTTTTTCCCTCAACCACAAATATTACATTAACAAACTCTAGAGATATGAAGGAACACTCCCCAACTTCCTCAGGTAAACCCCAATCAAAAATTTGAGTTTTTGATGCAACGTTGATGGAACTGCTCCTGTCTGATGGATCCAAGGCTTCTTAATAAGCAATTGTAGGTAGGTATGATGTCCATGAAAAGAAACTCGACCTCATAGGTGGATAGGCCAATAATTTGAGGGATGTCAATCTTTCATAGTACTTCTCTATTAGTTATATCAAATGCTCAAACGACGCTCTATCAATTTCTTATATGTGTACTATCGATAGGTAACTTCTTCAGGGTTACCCATGGTATTAAATTTAGAGTATAATCATTGTCAACTAACACTCAAGATAAAACATGTCCTTTGCACCTAATAGTGATATGTAGAGCTTTATGGTTGCCAATCATCCCAGACGGGATCTCATCATCAGAAAAATAAATAAAGTTATCAACTTGAATTTTTGTAACCAATCTATCTAGCTTGTCTATGGGTAAATCCTTCGACACGAAAAACTTGATTCAAGACCTTCAACAGAGCGTATCGGTGTGCCTTAGAGCTCAATAGAAGTGCAAGGATCGAGATACGAGCATGTAGCCAGTGCAGTTGTTCAACAATACTATATTCGTTATGTTTTAAAAATTTCAGAAATTCCACATCCTCGTTTTCTGTCACATGCTCGTTAATGACTAGCTCATCATCTTTCAGTAGTAAGTTAACCTTTTTTCCTTTGTCGTTGGCATATCTTTTCTCGGGTTCTTTAGGTTGATTAGGAGAGTAACATCTCCCACTCCTGGTGAAATGGCATACTTCACCCACTTCTTCCTTATCTTTCTCCACACCGTCCATCTTGCACTCATACTCGTATAAAACTTACTTGTTATCCTTGTAAGGGAATGTAGATGGAGGTATGTTACCACCTTAGGAATTATTTTCTCCACCACACGAGTTTTTGGTGTGATAACTAGACGACAATTGGCATTGTAAACACATCTAGAAGAACCTTTAGATACACAAACCTCTGCCTCTTATTCTTCAACAACTCATTTGTAAAATTCTATCTCTTTGTCGTCCATCATTCTTTGCACCAAAGCTCAGAATTCTGAACAGTCTTGTATGGTGTGTCCCTCACAATTGTGATATTGACATACATACTTTCTCTTAACTTGTTTAACTACTAGGTTTGAGACCAATAGGCCTACCTTTATCATCTGACCCCATATTCAGTGCATGGGTGATTTTACCTCACTCACCCTTGTTATGATCTTTTATCCTTTTTCCTCAGTAATTGCATTTACCCCTGTACCTGCATAGTTGGGTAATAGGTTCTTATCCACATTTGGTTGGTCACTATCACCAAAGTTGATGACGTTCTTTTTTCTTAACCTTTGGACAATCTTCTTAAAGGCAACACAGTTCTCTATCGAATGTCCAGGTACCCATACGTGATACTCTCATTGGATATTAGCATCATATCATTTAGGGTAAGGAGGTTATAGAGGTAACAATGGTAAGGTGACACCACATGTCTATCATATAAGATCTGAAACAATTCCTTGTAGGACATGAGGATCAAGTCAAACTAAAGTTTCTCTCTTTTGCCTTGGCTCCCTTGTCTCCTATCTGGAATAATTCTGTGTGGATGATCCTGTAGCTTGAGGTCAAGAAATAGTGATGTTATTGGAGTCATTTCCTCACGTTATTGACTT